CTCCCACCAAAATCAGCCCCCCTTCTGTCATATCCCATGCTCATCTCTTCCCTCGAAAGAGGCTCTAGAGGAGGCGTGTCGTTCTCTCCTCTAGGATCTCCACCTCCGACTGTCTCCTCCCCCGCAAAGGGTTCGGATTTCCTCCCATGCCATGGCCGTCGGTGGTCTCTCTTACTTCCGATGTCGCCGGATTGGTTTCCATCTCAAGAAGTTTCTTCATCATTTCCTCCATTGCCGTGAACTTCCCCTCTAACCTTTCATTGTTGGAGGTGAGTTGATTTTGGATGTTGAAGAATCTTTCCTCCAAATTGGCTTTCAATTGGCCGACTTCGCCTTCCAAGACGCCAACCTTCTTTCCGGCCATTGTTCTTCTCAAGATTCACGAAGATCTTTTTCCGGAACAAGAAAATCCGCTGAAATCTTTAGGAAATCAGCCCCCAACGGTCCCAAAAAAAAGGCTCTGATACCAATTTGATAGAATATACTTGTTTGCACAAGCAAATCTACCCAAGATTAAGCACTACAGCAGGGAAACTGCTGTTCACAGCAGTAATTCAGCCAAAAACAGTGAAAACAAAGGAAATCTGAGAGAGAACTTGTAGGAAAACCAATAGAGCAATTGTATTTCACTAGTAGATTCAAGAAAACAAGCAAATATACAATTTCCTTCAATTCGAGAGGAAGGAATAACTCTCCAAATCTCCGGCAACGCCAAGAGCCCAACACAAACAAACCTGAGATCTCCAATCTCATTCAAATTCAAGATGAGGCTCTCTTTCCCCCCTAATCTCCTAATTATACAATTTAATCATAAAGGACAATAATGAACTTCGTAAAACAGCCCCCCCCTCATTCAAAAATCTCCCTCCCAAAATCAATTTAAGCAACGTGGGGTCCAAGGGGGGTTCCGCCCCTTTTTTCTGTTTCCGCCTGACATAGCATCGGACCGGTCCAGTGGGGACCAGTCCACTTGTAACATGCTGTTGTTGTTGTACAAATATATTTTGAAATGAGGGCGAATTTACAAACGGGATTTCATATGACCACTTTTGATGATTGAAGTAGGATATTAAACCTGCCCTACAAATGCTGCCAAAAATCAAGATACAATCTATCAAAGGCACATCATATGAAATTTGAATAAAATGAACTAACAGTTGGAACTTGGTTGGACTTTCATGTCACAATCAATTTGACTGAGATATGTTCGATCACTATGAATATATGTAGATTTGCTCTGCAATCACAAGTCTATAGGGCAATCTATATAGCATGAAGTACTTTAGCATAGCATGAAGAACAAGGTACTACCATACATCAAACTTTTTTAATATTAAATATATAACTTCTAATCATTAAAAGGAGCAACTGTTCAAAAAGGCAATGGTCGAGTTCACATCATAACTTATTTTCGATACACTATAAAAGATAGGTACGAGGGTAAGCTAGGTGTCTTCATCTATTTTTTCTATTTCCATTATATAACATTTGTAATCATTTACAGATAATAAAAATCTTCATATTTACTTTTAATGTGATTCTCTGTGTTTACTCTCTTTTATGGTTTAAAATTGTGCAATTTGAGGCTCGCCTCGAAACTTTTTTGACAATTTTGCATTGAGGTGGCTGCCTCATCAACTTTCATGTGAGGCTTATGCTTTACATATTGTGAAGCGCGCCTGGCTTGAAGATATTTATTTAGGGTTTGGATGCCTTTTTAAAAATAAATATTAAAAGGATTTTATTCCCAATTAAAATCCTTTTTATTATTTCTTCCTCATGCCTCACCTTGCATGCAACTCTGTGCCCCTCTTACTGTCGGTCTCATGCAAAGCATGATCCCCATTCAGCTAGCATGTCTCTCCCGGCCATCTCATTCCTCGTTGTAACCAGCTGCCTTCTTCTTAGCCACCATCGTCATGTTCTCCTTGCCAAGCATTGTTCCTCAACAGGGGGCCCATCTCCTCTTCCTTCATTGTATCTATTTTTCTTATTAGTAGCTATTTATTTTTTTTCTTTCCTAAATCTAAAAATTTAATGTTATTTATTTAGGGTTTCTTCCTTTGTAATTATTTGTTTGTTCAAACTTTTATTTAATTTTATTTTTAAAGGATTTCCAAAATAGTAAGAGTTAAAAATAAAAGCACAATAGGACATAGAAAAGGCCTGATATGGTGGCATAGTGTGTAAGTTGACATTGGAGGGAATGAAAATATATATGTTTATCTAAAATGCAATTATTACGAAAATATTATGATAAGAAAACTTGAACATCTCAAGTGAAAACCTATCAATCTTGTAATAACAGCGGGGAATATCCACAAAACAAGGAAAAATAATAAAACAACAATTTTATTGCAATAATCAAAGATAATGGAATGAAAATATCAATATACAGTTGATCCTCAATTTGAGAGGAGGATCTATCTCTCCCAATCCCTAGATGTCGCTAGAACCCGAGACACCAAGCACCAAAAACAACAAAATAAACCACAATTCTCCGATGCCCTAACCCTAATACAAACTCCTATTTAAAGCAAATACAAAAAATAAACTAAAAGGATTAAACAACCCTCAAATAATTAGTCTTAGGTAGTGGACCACCCCAAAGGGGGGGGGGGGATTGAGAGCTTGCGGACCAGCAGACTTGCGCCTACTATATTAAAGGAGTCGTCCCACAATTTGGGTTGGTTGGACCGGTCCAAGCGTACCCATACTCCGCTCCAAAAAAATCACCTTGTCCTCAAGGGGGAAAGATGGAATTGATGTTTCACAGTTTCATAGGGCTCTCATGTAGCGTTATAATCAGGAAGGTCCTTTCACTTGATCAACACTTTTTTGACCCCCCCTTTCATCGGCGTATCCCTTGTAGCTCAATGGGTTCCAACACCACTTCCAAATATTCAGTCAATATTGATGCCAACTCTGGACTGACTGTGTGATCCCCCAAAGCTCTTTTCAATTGTGAAACATGAAATACTGGGTGGATGGTGGCTGTTGTAGGCAACCTCAAACGATACACTACTGCTCGAATTTTCTCTAATATCTCA